TGCAGAAGACAAAAATATAGTACTGTCTATAGAAAGAAAAAATGCTGTGTTTTTTTTTCTTTTTAAAATAAAGATAAAGTTGTTGCTTTGTCACTTTTTGCAGTTCATTTTCAAGCTGGGAAACAATGTTTTATATGCCTATGTAGAAACGTGATCTTCATCTGGTTTGAGAATCTTTTAACACTGAAAAAGAAAATACTCATCTTCTGAAACTGCATGATATTCTTGATCATACAGAAAAAAAAGTCATAGCATATCGGAAGCATCCTGGTATGGACCTAGTTTGCTACAAATGGGTTTGGAACAGAATGTATTTACCTCTGTTGTTTAGCTAAGATTAAGACAATCAACCTGGGGTATAATACAGCATGTTACTATAGTAACTTTACAATCTGCTTGTGTGTGACAAAAGAGGCTTCATCTCGTCCATTTCATGCTCCTGTGTCGACCCACTCCCTCCTGGTGTTTTATTATATCTGTCTTTAAGACTGCCTGCAGGAGACACAGCTGCTGTAGCCAAAAGCAGGCTTCACCGTGTGAAGCTGAGTGCTAGATGGAAGCCAGTTGGTTGATGGGATTAAAGAATTTAAAGTGCTGCCAAAAAAAAAAGTTAAATCTTATAAAGGATTATAGTAAAAACTGCCTTTGCACTTTCCAATTATGGTGAAGCATGTGAATGAAAAAAAATGGCTGAAACTGTGGTTATATGGTATGCACCTTTTTTTCTACTGGAAAGTGTGATCTGAGCGGCATAGAAATTGGTGGCCATTCTCAGGACATGCTGATTTCCAAAAGCACCACAAAAAGCCCTCCCAGCCATAGCCACTGAGAGAGGGTCTCAGGGCAGGGCTGTTTATCTACTGTACTTTAATAATTCCAAATGGTGCAGATCCCAAGGCAAAAGCATAACAAGGGCCGGTATTCCATCCGTGTGCAACAGTGTCCTCCTGCTTCCTTCGCAAGGTGGGAATTCCATCCTGAATTCAAATAAGCAGCAATAAGTCATCTGCATGTACAAATTCACTTGTGTGCCTCTAGAGTTCAACAGATACATTCTAAGCAATTTCCTGAAAAGCTTTAAATGAGACATTAACTGGGAAAATGTTTAAGCCATATGAGATGCGTTTTAATGGATGTGCAGTTTCAGAATGGTGTTATATTTTTAAATGTTTCAAAAGTACTCTGTGCTAACCACCTTATTTATGTTGTACTGTAGGTGTGGATCATACTAACGTCGACCTGAAGACAAACTTTGTGAGTAATGGACACATTAAAATATTCTTTTTACAACTGCCACCACCTCATCTACTCCTGATAGTAATATGTTAGCTGATATATTATTCTTGTTGTGTGACCTTCTTCTCAGTTACAAAAATACCGCATTCGCTATTCAAAGAAGGTCACACAAAATAGTCACGACTCATGTCTGATATATTGAACTCCATACAGTTTAAAATAATGAATCGTTGTATTTTTTATGCATTGTGTGTAAGTTTTATTTATGCAGTCCCTTCAGCATTTTGTAAAAGAAAACATAGTATTACACAATATTTCACATGTATTATGCACTGCAATTTATGAATTATGAAGCAATATATTCAAATTGTACATTGAACAACTTTGATGAATTGTAGCTGGAGTCTTTGTTTTTGATTAATTAAAATATTATAAAGGGGAAAAGCCATACAATACCTATTAATACAAAATCAACTAAAATATTTTTAAATAGGTCGCCAACATTATTCATCCTCTGGATTGATAATAAAATAAATGATTTAAGTCAAAAATGAAATAGGGATTTGTCGATACCAACAATTTCTGAATAATCCTCATTTAACTGTCTTAAATGTATTTTTTTTAAACAAATAAATAACAGGTGCCTTTCTATTTATTCTAAGGTAACAGAGTCTGCCTTTTTCTTCATTTTTAATTTATGTATTTTACCAGTATCAGTCATTTAAAAAGATTGGAACTTTCTTATAACAATCTAAATTTGATATGGATTCTATGAAGTTTCTTCACTGGAGTTAATCATGCATAAGTTGCTCTAAATAATATAAGGAATCAGAAAAGTAATACTGTTTTGTCTACCTTATTTAGCTTTGTCTACAGTATGTCAGCATCTATCAATTTATTGTACGTCAGACAATTTACTGTATATATAAACCAAGGATTGGCAAAGCAGACTACAATATGAAACCGTGAAAAGAAATTATCAAAATCCAGAAGACATCTTCCTATCAATAATACTGCATAAGAAAAGTTACAAATCAAAAGAGGCCATATGGCCATCTAGAATGCTTAGTAGTGCAGTGATGATGATGGCTTGAATTTACTCAAACAATAAGAAATCGGAACAATAAAATTACCTCAATGAGGTAAGTGTGGTAATCAACTATGCACAGGGCGATCAGATCTCCCGCCAGAGCGCGTAGCCACAGCAACCAGCTGATTGACAGGTCTAGTTGAGTCTGTGCCAGCTGCCCTAGAGATTCAAACGCATTCTCTAAAGTTCTCATGGGAGTGCATATGACAATCCTAGCCCTGTTAGCTAGGCTTTTATTCCAGATGTGTCTCCCTGTTTCAAATGCAGACAAAGAGACACTGGAAAGTTCATCATTGGGTGAATTGACCCAGTATGTGATGTCCTTTTTTGTGTGAGAATCCCTACACATTTTGCATTTTGCTTATTGGGGACACATCTTACCAGCATTCCTATGAAATTCACTCACCCTATGAGCTAATACACCAGATTCATTTTGAGTTCAAGGGAAAAGAAAAAGTTAATCAATTTAATTAATTAAATTTTTCTGATCTCCTTAATTCTACAGCATAAAAGACAAATAAAAGCCTTGCCACTGCTGTATAGTAGTTAGTAGCAAATTGATCTAGGGATCTCATTTAGCCTTTTATTGAAAGAAGTAAAAACCCGAAAGAAAGAAGAGCTATTGTCTTTGTCATTCACATTCATACAGTAGCTCAATGGAGAGGGCAGTGTTGGTGTGGTGGCCACGTCTATGACAGGGGCTGCAGGAAGTTGCTGTATATCTTTATCGTGCTCTTGTTATACCCCATTCCTGACACCTTCAGTCTACACTGGTCTTCAGGACTTGCTTTTCTTCCGTGGGCTCACCTCCAAATTTACCTTTACAAAAGCAGTTGTCCTCACACTTCCTTATCAATTTGCTCCTGCTGTTTGGCCTGGCGTTGTCATACCATGTAATTACAAGACTATCTCACCAAGAATTACTGATTGTAAATCTATTCCAAGAACTACATCATATGGGAGCTCAGAAACAACCCCAAGAGACATCAAATATTCTTGTCAATGAAAAGTTAAGTATACTGCAGAAGCATATCCTTTCTTATCCACATGAATACTCAGGATGATTACACCAGGACTCCTAACTGCAATACAGTCAAAGAAACCTAAGTCTGTCCACAGGTTATCTGTTCACATGTACAGCACACGTCAATGCACTATACATGCAAATGAAGTAAAAAAGACAATTAAGTTTTCTTTTTAGTGCCCATATTCTGTTTAAAATAGCTAAATAAGTTTCCGCTTTGGGGCGGAGCGGGGGCTCTGTGGCTAAGGATCTGTGCCTGTGGCTGGAAGGTTGCCGGTTCAAATCCCACAGCTGGCAGAGGAATCCTACTCCATTGGGCTCCTGAGCAAGGCCCTTAACCCCAACTGCTCCAGGGGCACCGTACAATGGCTGACCCTGCGCTCTGACCACAGGCTCTCTACGTGTCTGTGTGTCTCATGGAGAGCAAGCTGGGGTATGCAAAAAGATAATTCCTAATGCAAGAAATTGTAAAGGGTTAATAAAGTAATGTTAAAAGTTTCTTGGTTTTTTGTTTCTTATTTGCCCAGTATATACTTTTTTGCATCTAGTGAGCAATGGTTCTAAGTTAGTGTGTCTGGTAGTGTTTTAGCTATTGGTAACTTACTTTATAGGTTTCCGTCAATGAGTAAAAGTCAGTATGCATGTGCAGTTGTCCAGATCTGATGATGTTGTAACTGTAAAGGTTTTGCTGTGGAAATGGCTTTTGGAATTCAAAATTTGAGAGAAAGGCATAGAAACCTCTCTCAAGAGCTTAATATTTCAAAAGAAGAGGTTGCTGAAAAGTTAGATACGTTAAGGATAAGTGGAGGGAAAAGTACATTTTAACCATAGTTATTAGACTATTTAGGCTATCTGAAATAGCCTAAAAAGATGAGAATACCCTTTACTGCCATAGAAACGCAGATAGGAGGTTTTATGAATAACCTCCACAGTGTTTGTCAAGTACACTTTAAGAATAAAAAAAAAACCTTGAGTTTCCATCTTGCAAAAAAAAAGCATAACATTTAACACCATTTGTTACCACATGCTCCTGGGATAACTAATGTTCAGACTATGTTTAGACTACATTACATTGCATTCAGGAGGTAGTTGCCCTTTTTTATTATCAACTCACATGCTAGTTACATTTACAGTATATGACTAATAAAACAACATTATATGTAAGGTGTAATATAGGAATTACAGTGTATGTAGAAATGGAAAAGATGAAGATGGTGAAAGACAATACAGATGTTAGTGTGAAACTACTGTGAATTTCAATTGCCACATGTTAATAATTTCATCCTTTAGGAATTCTTAAAGTGAGTTGAAAAGGGCCATTACATGCCTATTGTGGTCCTTTTTTTACCTATTCATCATGTATAGAAAATAGAGGAAGTAGAGTTCTTTCTGAACTAGCCCCATAATTTAATGAGTTCTTGCTTGCTGTATACCTGAGCGTGGCCTATCTGCTATGATACTGACCTGTTTTCTCAGAATACGCTGAAAAAATCCTATCTGTTCGATAGCAGCTTTTACAACTAAAATACAATACAATAACTGCATTGCTAAATTCACTGTTGATTCTTCTGCACCTTATGATTATAAAGACCATTGTTGTATCTTCTTCTAACCTATTGATTTTGCTAAACCTCTTTTGTGTTAAACTACTGTACAGTATTGGTGAAAATGAACTTTCTCATGAAACTTTGGTCTGTTTTATGAGATCATGTGGGCGTTAATGATGTAGATGCATTTTTGGACTTGAAATTCTCCAGTTGTTTTTCTTACTTTTTTGAAGATGATTAAAAAGTGTTGTTATTTAAATAAAAATGTGTGTGTTTCTGGGGCACTCACAACTCATCACATCATTCACAGGTGAAGTGGAATCTGAAGTTGTGAGAAGAAGGGAGTCTGGAGCCAGAAAATGTTTTTGCTACCTAGACTACTGTCTAAAAAACTTATGTCTAGCCAAGCATTCGTGTGATATAATTATGTCTTTTTGTTTTATGGAAGATATTTCCCTTGCTGAAGGGAACCCCAAAATACAGTACATACCAGATTTAATCAAACTTGTGATTGATGGGTGAGACAATATTTTGTATTAATTTTAGTCTAAAACTCATACTTTATTTACAATAGTAATATTCAAAGTCCGAAGTATTTTTCTTAAATGATATCTTGCAAATACATTATACAATTTCATTAATAAAAGTAAGACATTTTCATAGTAAATCCATTCTTTTCATGTCTCCGTGAATCTTGTTTCCTGCTCTGTTTAATCTGTGACTCAGCAGACATACTGTAGGATGTAACAAGTGGCATGACTCATTAGTTGTTTCCGTTGCATACTGGGATACTATATGTGTTTAGTTCTTTATTTCTTGTTAAGAGATTTGTATGGCCTATCACACTGATGCTCTGTTTGTCTTATTGCTTGTATTTCCATTTTACAAAATTCTATATTTTTCCAGTCATTCTTAGGTCTTGATGCTTTTCCAGAGCAATCTATTCTCCTGCTCTTGCAAATATTTAGGGTTGCGAGCTTTTGATATTTATTTGTACAAGCACATACTGCACATGTGTGTGTGTAAATATCCCTTGGGTCAAGAAAGCACATTTCTTGACAGTAGGATTGACATGTATGAATCTCTTTTCACTTTGGAGCATTTATTGATTTAATTTCTTTAACAGGTACACTGTACTTACTGTATACAGTACCTCACTGAAGTTTAAATAGCATCATTTTACATAAGTGCATAATAAATGTCTCTGATTTTTGCTTGTTTTTTTTTTGCTTAGTTGTGTCTCCGGATGGTTTGGATGAAATTAAACTAACAATAATAATATAGTAATATTGTATTTATATATACACACACTATATTATATATACAGTATAATGTTATATGTGGCATGGAGTTAATCTGGCAAGAAGTAAAGCATTTTTTTTTTAATTGTAATATATTTTGCACCAGGAGCTCACTAGAGTACATAGCAGATCAGGTGGAGATGTGAGAAATTACTAAATAAAATAATGGAGAATCTTAGATTGAATAATCCTATAATAGAATTTGTTTGAGACACTTGAGTTAACACCCCTACTCTTACAAACATCACCGTGGCACCATTAATGGCCACAGAAAGATGGAATCTGGTAAAGCATTAGCTATGGGGCATTAGATTACAAATTGTCATTCAGAGGGAGTGCCGCCTACTGGTCCGCCATCACAATTAACAGTACTTACTAGAAATAAACAGAGAAATATCTGAGCTCTTTTGAACATTATCAGATTGCTGGGGTTCTGTAAATAAAATGCTGGGGTTTAACTGCTGACATTGTGTCGCTAAAAGCCTGGAAGTTTTGTATCTATTTTACTTTACATTTCCCAGATGGGGCTCTGCTTGTTTGTATGACCTTCTCAGTGTTTGATCCTGCTATGCTGCAAAGAACATCAAATATTCCTCTCACCTTGGCAAATGTAATGCTAATTTTTATAATGGTACAGCATTGTATACTTTATGGAGCTTTGTTTTTAACTCTTTCACTTTGGCCACTGAGAAACTAATTAGCTTCTTATTTACAGAATATTGATTATTGATGGTTAAGAAAATTGTGCAGAAGTGCTGATGAAGGCAACACCAGATATTTAAACAGCATTCATGATGATCCTGGTGCATTTGTTTTCTATAACACTTTTTTTTGTCCTTGCACTCTAAAAACTTTAATTACTTCAAACTCCTCTGCATGATCTGTAACTGGTTCCAATTGAGAGCTGTAGCCTTTTACAATGTAGGATTTGCTAGTCTTAAATCATGAGTCTAAAAACAGATTTGTTTAGGGGGTAAAAACATACAGATGCCATAACACCTGAACAACTGCATAGCAGGATTCTCCCATTATCTTGCAGTTTTAGTGACTGATTGAGTAGACTCAATTCTTCTTCCAATCTTTCACTTTCTCTCCTTTTCATCTTTTCAGTATGTTCTCTGAGATTTAATAATAATAATAATAATAATAATAATAATAATAATAATTGCTTACACTTATATAGCGCTTTTCTGGACACTCCACTCAAAGCACTTTACAGGTAATGGGGACTCCCCTCCCCAATGTGCAGCATCCACCTGGATGATGTGACAGCAGCCATAGTGCGCCAGAACGCTCACCACACATCAGCTATTAGTGGGGAGGAGAGCAATGAAGCCAATTCATACTTTAGATGGGGATTATTTGGAGGCCATGATTGGTAAGGGCCAATGGGAAATTTGGCCAGGACACCGGGGTTACACACCTACTCTTTTTTTCGATTTGGAGTGTTGTCCACTATTTAGCCCATATGGTCTGCACCCAACTCACTTTTCTGTTAGTTTTGATGCACAGTATTCCTTATGGTGCACTCAGTAAGGTCTGCAATTCAACTCTCTTTCTCAGGAGTGAGTTCCACTATCCCTGTGAGGCTTCTGATGCATAGGCATTTGTTATGATGTGGAGTGTCCACAATGATTTAGTCAGTGATGTATAAACTATTTCTTATTTTCTTCACCAGTTAGAACAGTGATGACACAACATCTGCTTTGATATACTTTTCTTTTCCCTCTTGAGTCTAGACTCTCTCCGTTTCTAGGCAGCTCTTTTACAAGGCTTTCTGTTTCTCTGTTGCAGGGGCTTGGGTGACTCCATGGGAGCCCATTCCAATATCTTCTTTTCCTCTTGTGAGCCCCACACTCAAAGTGTGTCTCATCAGGCACCTGCTTGCAGTTACTCTTTCATCTTGACACCATGGTCCAGGTTTGAGCCAAGATTGTGGCTTTCCATGGAACTTTCCTTTCACAGCTGTATAGACATATATATCAAAACCTGCTTTATTCTAAATGCATCCAGAAAAGTCTATCATGTAACATTAGATAGAAGATAACATGCCCTTCAGTTGCACTTAGTTGAACTGCATTCGGGAATCTGGAATGAGCTTCCTAGCCAAGTTGTTGAAGCCGATAGTCTGGCTTCCTTAAAGAAGAATGTGGATGAGATCCATGGTTCTACTAAATACAACATAGTCTACTGTAGATGGGCCTAATGGCCTTCTTGCATTTGAAACCATTTTTCTGCTTCTTTACTTCTTTTTTTTACACACTCACTTGCATTTTTTCTAATAGAAAATACCTTTTTTGTGAGCTCTCTTTTTTTAAATACTGTAATAAATGACTGAAATGAGAGGTGGCCAACACATTTAGCGTTGCAGGCAGCTAATAATCCAGAGGCCTTATAGAGCCAAGTCTTATAAGAAGACAGGGCATCAGCTTCAATGTCCCAGACTCCCAAAATCATTGTGTAAATGAATGCCTCCTGTTCTTCATTTTCAGCGCCCTTAGTTTCCATTTGTGTCCTTTTGGCTTGTGTTTCACTGTTGATACTGAAGAAGTCAATGTCTTTGCCATTTGAATGCCATTTAAGTCACGTTCACTTATAGTCTTCCCTGTTCAAGACTGAAAACATTTAATGCTTTTATCCTGCCTGGACAGGACATTCAACTGAGTATGTGAATGTATCTTGTCACTCTTCTATGGACCAATTCCAAAGCAGCAACATTTTTTCCTGTAATGTGATAAGCAAAATTGTGAAAAGTATTTGAAATTAAGTCTTACTGGAAAATCTACAATTTTAACATTACGTCCTTTGATGTTAACACTGCGCTTTTGACTACTGTATCCTAACACTGCTTGCCTATTTTGTTGATTCCCCACATCATCAGAAGATAGAAATACTCTGCTTCCATCCCTTACTGTGGTTGATTGCTCACATAAAACTTATATTTTTCTTAGCCAATATGTACAATTTACAAATCCATGACTATCGCTTAAAATGTTATTGCTACAAATCCTGTGCTTTGAGTCTGATTGTTGTTTAGATAACCTTACAGCAAGACATATTGCAGTAGGAAATACACCTTATTAACCTTTAACTATTTGATTTGGTTTTGATAGCCTTTATTATGAATGGGCACTACATTAGCAGTTTTAAGTTAAACCTCTGTCTTGAGTGAGAACTGGAAGAAGTTCTTAAAATACAATTGGTAATGTCCCATGAGGCCCTCAGATTTCTATAAAGTACTTCTAGTATCTGTAACACTTCTGACCATTGTACATTAATATTATTTGACTATTATTTGCTTATTACTAAATTATTATACTGTAGATACAGTATACAGAATATACAGTATGATGCATGTTCTGTTTCCTCCTTAGTAAACACATGACTGAAAAATTAATTTATTGCATTAGCCTCTTTCCTTTCATTTCACTTTCCAACAGGCTCCCATTTTGATCTCTGTGACACTTTATTTACTTTATAATTCAGTGTATTTTAATCTTATTTTCATATTAAAACTTCACATTGTAAAATGAATTCTGTTCTTTTTAATCACCTTACAAAGAGTTTTCTTTCTCAGGATAGTTTTCTTTGTTATTTGAATAATTAAGTATTTGTTAAAAAATGTCTTTACCTAAATTAAAATGATGCATGGCATTGATACTAGAAAGTTGTTCTTTAAGAGCTACTGATTTTGCTGATGGCTAAGTATCACAATATTATCAGCCACCCTTCAGATATACTAAAAGATATATCTTGTAGCTAATGTCTTATCTATTGCTAAATTGTAAATTTCCTGTAGCAGATGTTTTATCTTAAGCTAAGTAGAAAAATGTTAATACCCTTTTATACTGATTAACATTCATGATTATTATGTGCACTGATGGATCCGTGTTTAAGTTGCCTTAGGCCAGTAGAAGATGTACTGTATACTGTATTAGTTATAACAGCTGATATGTGCAGTGAATGATGTCCCATGTTCTTAATGTAGAGTGTTTTTTCAAAGCACTCCACCCACAGCATAGGGTGGAAAGATTTTTAAAAAAAATTCTCACACAGAGATTTCTTTTATTTCAATGAAATTGGTGTTTGCCTGTACGTTGGTCACTGACAGTACTGAGGAACACCAAAATACTAGTGCAGATAATTGTAACAAGTATTTGTTTTGTTTTATTTCAGGAGCTGTATGCCAGTTTTGATCTCCGCGGTGCTCATGGTTTATCCCATGATCCCATGCCATTGAGGGACTCAAACAATGGGTAATCATCAGATTAACTTCTTGGGACGGGAATTTATACAACTGCTTCTGGGGATTGATTTGACATGCATGTACTGTAGCAACATACATTTTATCAAAATGTGTGTGTGTGTAAAAACTAGGACATAACTTATTTTTGCATTTACTTAATTAAAAATAGAATATGCTCTTGGAAGGCACTTCAATAAGTCACCCTGTTGCTCAGAGATTGCTTTCATCTCTGGCTAAGGATACGTCATGAAAATACCACAGATGATCTGATGCGTAAGATATTATGCCTCAGTGTACCGCAGTACCACTCTATTTCTTATTTGCACCAGTGATTTTGATTATACTGCAAAGGTTTATGTAATGTTTTTATGGACATATTTTTGTGTGAGAACATTTAAAATAATTATGTAGTTTTGCATGTAATTTAACACTGTTGTAAATTGCCTTAAGTGCCTTGCTGAGAAAAAAAAACAATGTGCCTTGCATTTGATGTTCTAGAAACAGGTGTATTCCTTGTTACTGTATTGTGATATTAACAGTTGTTTTATTTTATCTGTACTAGTATTTTGATTGGAATGGAAATTATGATTGCCTTATATATGAAGGGCCTGCTTCATAATTTGGAGTAATATGTCTTTAGAATAGTTAAGTAGATTGAAATTAATTAGAGTCAGTTCATTTTAATGCTTTGTAGTGTAGAAACCTTCTAACTCATACAAATGACATAAAATTTACAAAATATTGACAGACATAAAAAGCAACATCCTGCTCCTATTGTCTTTAGTGCTGACTGCAATATGACAATTCCAGAATTGCAGAGCTCCTAAGACAATGTTCTAATCAAGGAAAAGGTGCAGGTTTAAATGTGGAAGCTTTTTCTCAATGTAGTAAAACCTTTTTGGATTTACTTTTTTTTTTTTAAATATGTACTATAGCATCAGAAGTACTATTATTTACTCTAATTTGAAAACGTGATATTGATTGTAGCTTCTGTACAAGTTATTCTCTTTTCCCCCAAAGACATGGAACACGATGTGCAGGTGAAGTGGCAATGGAGGCAAATAATTCTTTCTGCGGTGTTGGCATTGCATATAATGCCAGAATCGGAGGTGAGTCACAGTAATGAATCGATTGTGACTGTCCATTTTTGCAGCAGTTTTGAAAACCATTTGCATGTTGATTTAAATATGTCTGTTCAGGCCCACCGCATGTACAGTATAATGTGGTGTGTAGACCTGAAGACACTGAAGTACGAAAACAACTATCCTGTTGTATGTAACCAGACTATGCCTGTAAATACATATCGGAGCCACAGCATATTCTTCTTCTTTGCCATCTTTTCCTTAAATAGCGCACTTATTTCCTGTGGTATATTTCTGAGCTGCTATGGGTAAGAGATACATTCTTGAAAGGGTGGCATGTACAGTAAGTGGTAGCCATGATACAACATCAGACATAAAACGTACACACTGTATGATTGGACCAAATCTTTTTGCAGATTTTTGTTGCGTTTTTCAAGGAGCTGAAATTCTGATTACCCTTCTTTTCGCACACACTAACACTTCTACATAAACTCCTAGACATGTCTGTGTTTGTTCCTGTCACTGCTGCTGCTGAAGTAGATCATCACTAACACTTTCCAAGCCAAACTCCGGTGAAAAGAACTTAACCATTGAAACAGATGCGTATGTGCCATACAGTGATGTCAGACTGCCGTTTACACTGTGAATGGTGACAAATGTCACTGCTGTAGGCATGTTCTATGGCCCAATAATGACAATTGTTATTTCCTATACAGTATATCCCTGAATGTTACCTGTACTGTAGTTTTGTCACTTTATGGAAAATCTTTTCACTGTTCTTTATCCAGTGGTTTTGAATATTTTTTCTTCCCTTTTTCATATAAACCTCTGTAGTACAAATGATATTGGACAATCCAAAAGGTATTTAGACTATCAGGGATAACATCACAAGGATTTTCTTTCTGGTGTTCTGTTCTGCTAAAGAGACAAACACCTGGCACACCAGTGAAGAACACCTACTGTATCACTGAACGTCCAAATTGATGCTTAAAATCTTTGCGAATCATTACAGTCTTTTTTTGGAAAGAAAATGGGAATTTATTTCATGTATGTATTTTTTAAATTGGTATGCCTTACGTGCTGGTGTGTATTATGTATTAACTACAGTTTCTAACTATAATTTATGTAATTTACTTCAGTGATGAGTTTCCTGTTTTATTTGTTTCATTGAGCATTGTCATTAGCTGATCACACGTTGTGATCTATTTATTTTCAAATTACAGCAGATATATAAGAGAGAAATGCCTGGGAAAGACTGTTTCCAATCTAATTTAAGAACATGAATAGAGGATTATCTCCTTATCAAAAGGAGGTCTTCTCTCCCTTTTTTCCCTTACCTTCAATATCCCATATGTGGTTTATTTTTGTGTATTTCTTTTTTTTCTTATTCTTATGATTTTGCTTTTTCTTTTTGCTAAACAAAAAACAAATTACAAAGTTGTTCAAAAACAGAGAGCCCTGCATTTTGCACATTACATCAGTTCTGGCTCATTTCAGGCACAATTAAACTATTTCTTTGTCATTGATTCTCAATTACAAATCACCCACCTGCTCCATTTCAAAGGTGGTGATGGCTTGCTTTCCGCATGTTTTTATAGAGGAAAGTTAATGCAGACTAAAGTTTAATCATTTTTCCAAGGCATCCGGTTGCTGGACGGAGCTGTGACTGATTCTATGGAAGCTACATCCCTTACTTACAACAACGACTTTATTGACATTTACTCCTGCTGCTGGGGACCAAGGGACAATGGCAAAGAGATGGCCGGTCCAGGAAAACTCACCGAAAAGGCTTTGCGAATTGGTGCACAAAAGGCAATTAAACATTTCATTTAATATGTAGTGTTCAATCGCTTTTTAATCTCAGTGCACTGTTTCTAAGAACTAAGGTTAGAAACACACTTATTCTGAAGGAGCCGTGCATCATTTTGCACATTGCATCGTGATAATTACGAACACGTTATTAGTTTCTTCATACAGTATATTGTAACTAAGAGCTGTTAAACACTAGATGGATACAGAATACTTTGTATTTTGAAAAACAATACAAAAAGACTGGTTTTATACACTGGTTTTTATACAATTTATATTGTACGTAAGATAATGATCAGGACAACTGAATTAAACCCGACAGGCTTTTGGCTCATTTGCAGTTAAACAGTTTTGTCTTAGAAAGCAGCCAGAATTGAGACACAGTGTTCTTAAACATTGTGAAAAGAACAGAACTCTCTGAACACCCTCTGTTGCTGTCCATATGCAGGGCCGGAAAGGAAAAGGCAGCATCTTTGTGTGGGCTTCTGGAAATGGTGGGCTGGTAGATGATCACTGTGGAGCAGATGGTTATGTAAACAGTATCTACACTATTGCCATCGGAGCTATTACACACAGCGGTCTCCCCGCTTACTTCGGTGAGCCTTGTCCAGCAGTAATGGCCGTCACCTTAACTGGTGCCACCAACGAAGGAAGTCTTCCACTGGTAAGTTGCAGTACATTGTTATTATTAAGACTTGATGCCGCCACATCTGTATATTGGCTGATGCACTATGAAACCCCATGAATACTTGTACTTTATTATTCATGTTGCATGCTGCTTTCTAAGAGCAACTCTGTTACACATCCTTGGAGGCAGGCATCAGCCGAGACTTTATTGTTGAGAATAAAGATGAATCTTATAACATTTTACAAGTAGGAGGAGACCACCTTCACCCTCTGCTGAGGAGCATCAACCTGTGGTCAATGTGCACGAACAACATATTAACTTAATCACATATTATAATGATGCCAGAGATTTGTCCTGGCCCCATGCAGGTGCCATGGAGATGGTTAAATATTACATCTTCAAAAATTAAATGGACATTTTAAGGTACCAGAAAATGTTGGTAGGATTGACTCCCTCCACAGATACAGTACACGGGTGCATTCACTGCCCAACATTAAATATACACAACAGCAGCTGAACGGTATAAACGCATGTAATTGAATTTTGTATGTTACCAAATTAAACTGATAGTAAGTGAAATAGCATCATTTTAATGATGGTGGTTAATAATTGTAAAATGTATAATAATTGCTGTTTCATACTAAACAAAAATACAAAAAGAAAAAAGACCAAACCAAGGATTGTGGAGGGTTATATTGTCACAGCTGGCCAGGGCTATGGTACAGTACATCTTCAGGCAAGACCTAGACATTCATATACAGGTCCTACTTCTAATGTTGAATTAAATGAGAAAATAAAACATATTATTATAAAAGATCTAAGTGTCATGTAGTTCGGTTTTCGCGTAGTCCATAATTAATTTTAAGACATATATATATTTACAATTTGTCCAGGCTTAACTTTGACATCTGCCCATGACATATTGAAACAGGATGCAATGTGTCAGGACTGTTCTAACATACAGTAGTTCAAGCTGCATTCTCATATTGTGTCTGAAGCTTCTTTATGGAAGCAGCCTGTCTTCCAGTTTATTCAGGTAGGTCTGTCTGGGCTCTAACATGCCATACAGTATATTCAAAACATTTTCAATGCTGGCACTCTTTGAGTATGGAACACAGTTTAAAGTATTGGTACTATGGGGATCTTCTTTCACTTGTCATTACTTGACAGTAGTGTTTGTTACCACTGTATTGTGGGCTTGGGAAATTGTGTGATGTACTGTATCTGTTCTTGAATTCTTGACACATTCATTTGATAGGGTAAGCCAGTATAATATTCGTCTATGATCGCTTCCCAGTGTGGCTTAAAGTCAGTGGTTAGACACCATACCATTAGATAAAGAGCCTATATCTCGATTTAAAGTCATAATAACAATCAGAATACCATTACCAGCAATAAATAATCCCTAAAACCTCTCCTTGAATGCCATAATCAAGAATGTCATGAAAGCCCATTGTTTTTTGCTCAACTCGTTCATTGTCAGAAAATGTTGCCGTATGATCTTGTTTTCACTAATTCCTGACTGATGTTAAACTTTCAGTGGTTTCTTTTACAGTTACTCAGTGATCTTAAAAGATATGGCTTCATAGCCTCAGTATATGCTTTATTCACTCCACTTGCAGGCTTCCGAAATGGAACATCTTAAAGACTTTTTTGGCTAGAACCGAATTCTGTGCCTGATTTTTAATCATTGCATGTGATTGTTTTTATTCCTTTAGAATTATTTAGCACAATTACAATTTTAACATAGAATATAATCCAAGTAGTGTTTGTGAACAGTTAAGTACAATACTCTATCTTGTTCAGATAAAGAATGTATAAAAAGAGTTTTGGGGTGTATTTTTAATAAGAAGGCATTTATGTTCACAATTAAGAGTATACTGTATTCTATATTTTTTAAACTCTTGACTATAGCTCTGTTTGGGCATTTTATATACATGGAAATTACCATGTGAAAATACAATTTTTTTAACAGTAACAGCTGAAACGTACGAGAAACACCTTTGTAAAACTCTTTATAGCAGTGGTGTTTCTAGTCAGTTTTCCATGTAACAACTTAAACCTGTTAAAAGCAACTGAGTGCATAACAATTAACAATTTGTATTCCACCTGTTGAAAGCTCACAGAACCACCACAAAGGGCTGTGATACCTGCAACCTGAAAATGTAACTAGCTGATATGCAAATTGTCCCTCTTTTGTACTAATTTAACAGAGCATATCAGGAAGACTACAACACTGCCTTCCTCCTGATTTGACAAACTAAAATTAAAATAAAGTATGGTAGTTCTGAGACTGAAACAATGTAATTAAGGGAAAACAAGCTTATTAACTGAACGTTATTGCATTAAACTGATAAGCTCTCTGCCCTCTGGCCAAACCTGTAAAGCAATTAACAGACTGCAACCTGACAGCCTTTACTGTTGGATAAGTCTCACCAAAGAAAGCTGGAATTGCAACAAAATCACTGTCAGATATAGTTAAATGAAAAGATAAATGTTTTGTTATCGTGTATTCTGTGATTGCACAAAACTTAGCAAGTCTACTTAAACCAAAAACCTAATGACGATGACGCCTAGCATTCCTGAAGAGATTAATTCTCACAAGTGGTTTTAGACTGACACTGTTCTTTGAATTGCTCTGTCTGGAACTGTCTGCCTCTAGATCACCATGTCAGAATGGGATACAGTGATCCCATAGCTAATGCTCTGACTTGTCATAGGGCTTTGTGGCTCTTGCTGCAGAATCTCAATATCTGGAATTCAATTACTATACATTGCTGAGGATTGCTGAGGAGATAATTAAGAATACAAGTATTTATCATCTATAATAGTGTGCAAAATTTAACTTTAATTACTGTGTTAGGACAGAACAACATTATTGCTGAATTCATAAACACAGTAATGCTGTACAAAATCCATCCATACATTTTCTAACTGTTTTATCCAGTATATGGTAACAGGGGATGCTGGAGTCTCACTCTGTTAGCAACAGAAACAACCAATCCATCACTAGGCAGACACAGACAAACACACATACACTCAAACCAGGGCCAGTTTTCCCAGAAGCCAGTTAACCTAGCAGTACAGTACTGTATGTCTTTGGGCTGTGGGAGTAAACCAGAGCACCTGAAGGAATCCCACATGAACACAGGAAGAACATACAAAGTCCTCTTTACAAAATATTTTTTTTAAATGATATAAATCCTACTCTGTATTAATCAGAACAGAGGGGAAAAATAAAAGACCTGTGTGTCAATGTGGTGAAAGTAAATGGAAAATTTCAGTCTCTTCTTACATGTTTTAGTTTGTATAACACTGTATCATGCACGTAAGAATCTATATGAAAATCCTTTAAAATATTTACCCTTTCTGAGGAAAACAAGGCTGGACAGGATTTCACTCATACAGTATGTGCTTTTTAACACATTATACAAAGGATAGCAGACTAATATTTTATAACCCATAGCCACTTCTAAGAAAGGACTTATTTGCTAGTTCTGACATATTGTTTATTTCTGACAATAGATGCAGTGGCCTTCCAACATGTTAAAAGCAACATAGAAACACCTGGAGAATTACAGTCACTGCATTGGCTAGCATGGCAATCATTGAGAAGTTGTATGATTTTTCAAGATATTCAGCTAATCACTCTGAAAATAGAGCAATTGTATGAACACAGCCCAAAATATTAGATGATCTGTACACACATGACCCAGGGGAAAGAATGGGTTTAACAGTATGTATTTACTTAACTGTATAGAAAGTATACAGGATGAAAAAATACACAAAAAACAGAGAAATACCAAAACATGACTTTACAACAATCTGCAGTGTTTTCACTCAAACTTGTTTTGTCAGGCCTACTCTTAAGAGAGAGTTACTTTGCTTTTTTTTCAAGTTGCGTTCTCAGGCAGACTACATGCACTCTAAAATAACCTCAGGAAAACATTTTAAAGTACAGTAAGACGTAAAAAGGACTACCGCAAGAAATTCCAGATTTTTCATAATGCAAAAGGCAAATTACAAATAGAGAGATTTTTAGTAGTGACTGTTTTTATGACTGAGCCCATGCAGCGCCAGGTACTGGCACTGGAAGAAAGAATTAGCAGCTTTTCTTGATGCTTTCTGTCCACTATAATAGCACTAATTATGAAAAGGAATGTGTTGTATAATTAACACGTTTAAGTTCAACAGTAGAAAACAAAGAAATCAAAATTATCGTGTTCCCCTGTCAGCAAAAAGTAGGAAAAAACATAGTACAACTAGGCATTGTACCCAAGGAACTGATGATGACAACTATATCAATTGCTAATTGCCTTGGGCTTTTTGTTCCAATATATTTTCTCTGTGATATCTGGAGATTCCTTTACTTTTCATAGGCATATGCTTGGCATTATGATAGAGATTAATGCCTGTTGCATCCCAAGCACTGCCTCATTAATTGTGTTTGTCTTTGTGTTTCCCTTACACAGGTGACTGCCACAAATGTAGACGAGGGCTGCGTCACGCACTTCACAGGCACCTCCAGCGCTGCGCCCATAGCTGCTGGGATCCTGGCCCTCGTGCTGGAGGCAAAGTAGGTGCCACCTTTGACACTTCGTGCGCTGGTGGGAAGAGGGAAGCGGATGCTTCTTTTTTTTATAGCACATAGCATAGTGGGAGCCAATTGGAAAATAGAATGAAGGACTTGTTCCTTCAAATTAAAAAAAAAACTTGTTGCTCTGTGAAAAATCTAAACCCAGTCTTTGTTTTGAGAATAGGGTAAGGTTTTTTTGGTAGCTTTTATAGTTGGGTGAATAAGTGTGTGAATGCTCTGGAATAATGTGCGCTGCACAAGCAAGGCCTCAGTTTGGTTACTCGGTTCAGTTTTTGTCACACGCACATTAAAGTAGGATTCTACTGCTCAGAGATAGGAAACCTGAAATATTTCAGAAAGTCACAGAAGGAAAAGTAAACCAAAGTTGCAGCTTAAAGCTCAGCAATGACATTGGAACAAGTACAATAGAAAAGTGCAAGCACAAGACTGGAAACAAGAGGTACTTCTTTATGAAGAAGCCATGGTTTTCTTAAACAGCTTTATCCAGGTTATTTGAGCAGCCATGATGAAACTGAACCCGGGAGATTTCAAGAAATAGCTGGCTGAGCTTCTTGGATCAGTTAATAAAGTAAGACAAGCAAGCAAGATGGGGCATGAACCATATTTCTAGTTCTGCGTAATCTTCTTTCATCTCAAGATGTTTATCCTTTAGGAGGCTATTATAGAAATGCAGTTTTGCATTTAATTTTATTTACAGATGTTCAGTTTTATGTACAGGGTATTATGTTTGTTAAGAGTTTTTCATTCCTAAAATCAATCTAATTGTAGTTTTACGTATAGTACACTATATACATACATTTTGGGTAAAGTCAGTATTTTAAGATTTTTAAAATAATGCCTCAAATACAAAATCATACACCATAAAAGATTTCATAGAATTTGCATTTAATCTAAAATGTTTTATTTCCACAAGAATTTGGTGATGACAGTATTTGTATTTGTGATTTTGCTTGCATTATTTTCTGAACTATTTTCTGTCCTTCACAACCAAGAATAATGTATGGTGAAAAATATTTAGCTGTAATAGTGGTCATATTCATATTTGTATATCTATTTCTTCAAGTCACAATTGAATTGTACAATACCTGCTAAAGAAGTCCATCAGGGCGACTTTAAAAAGGAGAGTGGCTTACCTGAGTCCTTTAGCTAATGCAGATCTCATCAAGACTGTGTCAACGTGGCAGGTTTGAAAGTGCACAAGGACCTAAATAATAGGCTGAGCAAAGAATACGTGTGTGCCCTTTCAGTAGGTTAAAACGGCAGACCTTTCCTTCTTCTATAGCCCATTTGTGATGGATGCCACAGCAAGAGACGTGAATCTGTTTTCTTTTTCCATGGTGAAAAAATTATTTTAAAAAATAATAATTTCAAGGGAAGTGACAGTTCTGCATGTGTAACCTGATCAAGAGGTTTGCAAAAATATTCCAATGGATAATACAAAAATGTGTTCGGTTTTTATGCACACAAACGTGCACAAACTGACCCTGCCAATATTGTTGCCTTCTGCATAAAGTCTCAAAGAGATGGAGCCCTCTTTGGCTCCAGGTTTACACAGATGATAATACTGTACATACTTGCTGAACACACTGCTGGGATGAATTCCAGGGAGAAACATACTCCAGAGCACGTCTGCGCTTTATTGAGTTCTGTGGGCCAAAGCATTGATTACAGACGCGTTTATGTGTATACAGTAGCTTAATACTGTAGGTAGCACTGTAGTCATTAAAGAAGCATTGTAAGTAGATGGAGATGGAGGGAGAAATATGTGTTGCTGAGAAGGTGTTTCTCAACATGGTAAAGTTAATGGTACTGGTTGGAGAAAAAGAATGTCCTGACAGAGTCAAGGTGATGGCCATTTTTAGCCAGCCTGTTATCCATCACCTCTCAGCCGGGCATACTCCATCATATGCAACAGCCTTATGAATTTATGCATCAAGCTGTGCAGCCAGTCGTGCTGGGGGCCCTGGTGACATGTGAAATTGCTGTGCGCCTCATTTAGCTGTTTATTGCAGTGGAGTAAGTGTTGCAGCTGTCATCCTGAGATGGGATGATAGTGCTTGTTAATAGACGAGACTGGCAAGAAATGATGGACGCCACAGCAAGAGACGTTTTGTGTGCCAGTGGAGCTCCAGAATATCACAATTATGCACAGTTTTATATCAGGGGCAATAGTGTTAAAAATAGTAGGGCCACGAGCTGTGTTCATCTTTGGTGCTCGACACTTAGAATATGACATTGTCTGGTCTACTTAGGCTTACTTTTTCTGTCTGCTCTCATTACCAAGTGCATTTTGCATGGCCTTCATTTCTTACCACAGACAGCACCTGGGAAACCAGTTCTTGGTTTATTTTGCTTTGGTTGAACAAAACATGAACTACAGTGAAAGGGGAAGATTTGTAGGTAAATGGCATCTAGCTTACAATGAGAACGTCATTTTTGGTAGTAAATTGTGGCTCTTTTTTAGTAGTCTTTAAAGAGTCTTTAAAGTAGTATTCTATTTATAAGCAATTATTTTCAACTATCATAATGAAACATAGCAAAATGTTATTAACAAATCAGTGCTAAACCTCATAAAAGATTATGGGTTTAGATGTAGCTAATTTTCCTGACATGGACAGTAATGTCATTATAGTGGCTATATTTTCTCCAAAGCTTTTTACTTTTTGATTTTCTAGTTTCATTTAAGATATGCCAAGGGTCAAAGAGGAAACCAGGCTTGTCTATTTTCATAACATTTACACTGACCAATTTACCATGTATCAGCAGGAAAAGAATATTCTGCAACAAATAGAAAAGAACTCTTTCGTTTAAAATCCTCCAAAAGATTTTCAAAAACGTTTTAACATTTTAATTTCTATTGAGTAGTTTTAAGTAGTTTCTCTTACATTTTCTGAATAACTGCTAGCTTTAGATCTTTACCGATTCACATGTTAAGTGTGTAACTATATGTAACAGTACAAAACTATAAACATTATTATTAGGTAAGCAGACATTACCTTAACAAAGTACGGAGTCATGTATTCCTTTTGCTTTTGCAAGATGCTTACAACTCATTATGATAAAGTGCATCAAATAAAAACTTCAATGTAGTGAACATCTGTGTTTTCAGATTTTGTCTTTTAAGTTGTCATTCATTTAGGACTTTCAATATACAGTAGATTGTGTGGTTGTTGTTATTTCCCACTATGTAACATATTCTAGTGAAAAGGAAAATGGTAAAACTGTGTATGCAGTGCGATACATGTTTGTGCTTTTGCTCACAATAAAACGTAAAAAACGGCATAATAAGACAAAAAGCCTGCTTATAATAACTCAATTATAAGGCCAGTTCTTCAAACAATACCTTATGTGGTTTTCTTTGCCCTGAATTTAGTTAACATATTAAATTTGCTTTCATTTTCTTGGCTTTCTCGGTCTCACCTTGGGGTATCTGCTGATGAGTCTCTTCTTGAAGCATTTTAATGACTGTTTCACAGCAACTGTCAACCGAGTGAAGAGCCTAGCAGCGCTGAATGCTAGTCTGTAAGGGTCCTTCTTGCACACTTACACAACTGTAAATCTCGGGTTTTAATGTGGTGGAATAAAATTGACATATGTCAGCAGTCACACACAAAATATGCCCCCTTTTGACAAAGTGACTAAGTGACAGCTGCTCATTTTTATTCCTTTCAAAGAAAAGCAGTATCTTTTTTTCTTAATTAACAACAAGGAACAGAAAAGGGCAAATCGTATTTATAAATTATAAGTAAAAATTATAAAAGAAAATCCAGATTTTTTCTCTTGTCATTTTCATGTTTAAGTGAAGACCTGTAGAACAAGGTAATGCAATGAGGGAATGAAAATACTGTTTCTTCACCTTTGATGTCCTTTCAGCCTGTCTGCCTCTTTCTTGTGAAAACTCACTTAAGTTATTTATTGTACCAATCTGAAGGGACCGAATATAACAATCAGGGGAGGAGTTCTGGTTTGCTTTATTTCCAATTTGAATAGGAACTCCTACACCATATGCCTTGTCATGCTTAAGTGGTTAACAGAAAAAAAAACTGACTTACAAGAATCAGTAATTGCTTACTAAAATTTAAAGGACTTTTACATTGCCAAACTACAATACCAAAGATGACGTTATCCATTTCTTGGTTTCCGTAATAGCAGTATTCCACAATACATTCATAGGAGAAGAATGCTGCAGGTAAATCACAGTATGTTTCATTAAATGTGCATTTAGTGCTACAGTGTCTGTATTAGGTTTGTTCTTTTCAACAGGGGAAAGTACTGTGTGCATTGCAAACCAGTATTGCTCTAAGCCTAGATTCTGGCACATTTCAAGAGTGGAATAGAGTCTGTCATCAGAGGAGGTGCCATGTGCAAGAATACTCCTCACTGGAGAATGCTGCTGAATGTACTGTAGATACTCTCCACATGGACACGTGGAAATAATGAAGGAACTCTGAAGCTTTTCTCTCCTCTTCTCATAGTCTTTCATTCTTTTATATGAATTAAATCAGGAAACTAATCACTTTAAATTACATGTTTTGTATCACAGCATATTGTACCAAACATTGTACTGTATTTCAATGACCACTATTGGTGACTAAAGAAGATGTGCTGTATATAAACTTTTTGCATTCTTTTTGTTATGTTTGTTATGTTAAATAGACTGTTGTATATAAATTGAAAGTAATTGCAAAACATATTGTATACTGTATGTAGAGCATTAAGAGAGAAGTTGTTGATTGCCACAAAAGACTAGTATGCATTTAATATTCATTTATGCCTTCAGTTGCTTGTGTTAAAGCCATCCATTTATAATTACAGCATTGCAGAAAAAATGCAACATAATTTTGTCTTTGGTCTTCAAACATCAGTACACTTTTCAAGAGAGAAAGGTGAGGCTGGATAGTGTTTCCACCTCACTGATCACTGTTTATATAGGTAAACTGCAGCTGTTCATTTCACATGATTGATTAACTGAGGTTTTA